TCCTTGTTTTTAAATATTATCTAGAGGCCAAAAGCATGGAGCCTGAACCCAACTCCATCCTGCTTCTCATATATCCTATGTGGTGAGAGATTCCTGAGATTTCCATTAGAATCATCTTATTCTATAGTTGTGTGGGGTTTAGATACAGTGAGGCCACCCGCAGGGAAAATTCTATCAATTTAATAATGTAACAGAATATGGGTTTTCCAGTCACAATTGTTTCATAAACCAAGCAAAAAAAGCTGGTGAGAATCCTTCTAAAACTTCTATGGTTTTGCCACCGCCTCAACTAAGAAGACGGGAGTTACCAAAGAATCCCTCAGCCCACTCACCTTTTGTTTCCTTAATACGTTTTCTTAGAATCATCATTTTATTCATTTTATTTTCCCTTTGTCTCAGAATGGACCTACACATTTGCAAACCTCAGCCTTCCACTCCAGGCACTCTGCTCACATCTCATTCTCCTATTAGAAATAATAAACTTGTGGCTCCTTAAGTTGACATATCATTTCTCTCCTTCCAATCACCCTTAACCTCCTGAAAAAAAGAAATCTTTTCTCATTGCTTTATCTACCTCAACTCCCATTCACTAGCAAATTTCTTACAAATGGAGTTCTGTACCCATAACTTTTCTGACATCATTATCTTCAAGGTATTTTTTTCAGTCAACTAGCTTAGACAAACCTGAATCAAACAGTACCCATCTCATTGTTGTTTACTCCTGGCTTAATTCATGATTCCTAAATGCTCTTAGCTTGGGTGTTCCATATGCATTTCACCACTCCATTCTTCAGATTCCCACCAAGACACCAACATAAGACCAGCTTTAAAACTCCAGTGTATACGGTAGAGCCAGGCATAGCCAATGTAGACTAGAGCCAACCATGGTCTCATGCAGTCTACCTTGGGAAAAAACTCTTACAGGAGGTAATTCCGTGAGGGATTAAATCCTAGGCAGAAATTAAAAGCCATGAGTAAATTCAGGGTCATGGGGGAAAAAAATTAAAAAATAAGACAGATAATTTCAATAGCAAATCTTGATTGAGTGTTGACTGTGTGTAAGGCACTACTGTTATAAACGCTTTTACGCACTGTCTCCCTTAACTTCACTTTATAGAAAATACCAAGGTGCTCAAATTTTAAGTAATTTGCCCAGTGTCAGTTAGAAAGTGATAGAACTATAGTGTGAATTGAGACACTTTCTCTCTTTCTTCAGTCCATACTCTTAACTGCTGTACTGTATTGCCTCCTATAAAGTCACTGGAACCCTTTAAAAGTGTTTAAAAATATTTCAAGGCAATTAAGCGTGGCTATTATATCCATAAAACTAGAACAAGAATAGTTACTCAAAAGAATCAAATAGAAATCTTAGAAGTAAAATGTATAGTCATTAAAATGTTTAATTCAGGGCCAGGCGCGGTGGCTCATGCCTGTAATCCCAGCATTTTGGGAGGTTGAGGCGGGCAGATCATGAGGTCAAGAGATAGAGACCTTTCTGGCCAACATGGTGAAACCCCATCTCTACTAAAAAATACAAAAATTAGCTGGGCGTGGTGGCATGCACTTGTAGTCCCAGCTACTCGGGAGGCTGAGGCAGGAGAATTGTTTGAACCCAGGAGGCGGAGGTTACAGTGAGCTGAGATTGTGCCACTGCACTCCAGCCCGACACCTGGCAACAGAGCAAGACTCTGTCTCAAAAAAAAAATGTTTAATTTATAAATAATTGATAATTTGTTAATAAGAATAAAGGCATACAGCCTGGCATGGTGGGTGGCTCATGCCTGTAAGCCCAGCATTTTGGGAGGACAAGGTAGGTGGATTGCTTGGGCCCAGGAGTTTGAGACCAGCATGGGCAACATGGTGAAACCCTGTATCTACTCCAAAAAATAAAATAAATAAATAAATAAAAGAAAATTAGTTGGGCATGGTGGTGCATACCTGTAGTCCCAGTTACTTGGGAGGTTGAGGTGGGAGTATGACTTGAACCTGACAGGCAGAAACTGTAGTGAGCTGAGATTGTAACACTGTACTCTAGCCTGGCTGATAGAAAAAGAAAAAAAAAGACACACAAAAAAAGAAAAGAAAAAGAAAATTACAGTTGTAATCTTAAAATCAGTATCATATTTAATGAGGAAACACTAGGAAATGTCCACTAATATCAGGAATAAGGCAAAAACATTCCTTTCTCAATATTGTATTATAGATAGTAGATAATATAATCAAAGAAACTCAATTAGAGGCATAAAATTTGGTAAAGAAAAAAGAAAGCCATCATCTCTTTTTGCAGACGTCATGACAGCAGGCTTCAAATACTCTAGAGAATCGACAATAAAACTAACTTAAACAATAATATAATTCAGTAAGGTATCATAATATACAATTAATAAGAAATTAATTAGAGGACATATGGTAGAGAAAATCCTATTTGTAATAGAAGGGAAGAAGATTAAATACTTAGAGATAAACTTAACAATAAATGTATAAAACCAACAAAAGGAAAGTTATAAACACTCTTGGCAGATATACAGTAGACTCAAACAAATGGTAGGACATTCCTGTCCTTGGATAGGATGACTCAGTATTATAAAAATGTCAGTTCTCCCAAAATTCATTTATAAATTTAACACAATCCTAATAAAAATTTCAACAAGCTTTTTTTTAGGGCATAAAATAACTCGATACTAAGGTTCAACTTGAAAAGAATGAACATACATTAATAGCTAGACATTAAACATACTACCGATCTTACATAACTTAAACAGTATTCTACTGGTACATAAACAAACAGATATACTGGTGAAAAGAATAGTCCAGAAATAGACTTAAGTATACATGGAAATTTACTGTAAGATAAAGATATTCTGTAATTTCAATTTGTATTTCTTCTTCACTCGTTTATTTAATAGAAAGTTTTTGAATTTCCAGGAGGAAGAGCCTTTTTGGTTTTGTTCATCACATTTAATTTTATTTCATTGCAATCATAGAACATTGTTTGTAACATTTCTACTTAATTGGACTTACTAATTTTCTTTTTGAATTGTTATACCCTCATTTTCTGTGTGACATTTTCATAGGTATTTGAGAAGAAGTTAGATTCTCTATTAGCAGAGTGCGGATATGGGTGTGTGTGTGTGTGTGCGTGGTTTTGACCATACTTATGTTTTGTCCTCTTTCTTGTGCTAAAAATAAGCCATGTCAGTCTCTGATTATTAGAGTGTCTCTATGTACCAGAACGGTAGTTGCTGTATTATTTGTGCAGAAATATTTATATTTAATACTTCCATTTTAAGTTGTGGCGTTTAAGCCTGAAAAAGTAGTTGCTTTTGTTGTGTTTAATACATTTTGGCTTGGATTTATCTTCTGTCAGGTTTGCTTCTCTTGCTTTCTTGTTGTTTATGATTTTACCCTTGCCCTTTCTTTATTTTTAATCTTTCTAAATAACTTTGTTTTAAGTATGGCCTTTGTATACAGAATATAGTTGGGTCTTCTTACTTTTTTTTTTAATGGAGATGGGATCTTGCTCTGTTGCCCAAGGTCAGAGTGTGCACTGTCATAGCTCCCTGCAGCCTTGAACTCCTGGGCTCATGTAGTCCTGCCTCAGCCTACTAATAGCTGTGACTGCAGGCATGTACCACCATGCCTGGCTAACTTTCTTAAAAATTGGTTTCATAGAGATGGGGTCTCACTTTGCTACCCAGGTTGGGTTTTATTTGTAAGCCTAACTAAAACTTTTATTTTAATGAAAAATGTATGCATATCTACATTTATTGATATAACTTATGTGTCTGGTCTCAAAATTCTGTCACACAATGTTGTATAATTATGTGTTTTTTCCTGATATTTTCTATATTTCATTCTTTATGAACTGTTTATTCTTTGCTCTTTAATTCTTTCTTTTATTTTTTTGGTATTTAGGAGGATTTATATTTCTGTTCTAAAGGTTACCTTTGTCATATACTTTACTTCATGCCTTTCATCTCCTGTTTTCTTATTTAATATCTGGTTTATCCAGCTTTATTGGTATCTTTTAACTGCTCCTACAACAATGATCTAATTCCACTTTTATTTTCTCCTTTCTCCCACTGTTAGTTACATTATTTTTATAAAGAATTTTTCAACACAATATTAAAAAGCCAGTTAGTAAGATTGTTTAAAAAATGGGAATATATAACTAATGGAAGAAAAATTACAATGGCCATATGTATATGAATAGAAGCTCAAATTCCCTAGTAATTAGAAAGGTACAAATGAAAACGACATGGTATTTTTTGCCTGTCACTGGAAAAAATTAAAGCTTGGCAAGTGATGCATACTGGGGAAAATGAGGCTCTCATACATTTCTGTTAGGAGTCTCAATTGGTCTGATCATGTGATAATGCTGTAGTGTTACACCTCTCAGCAGTTGTTCCACTTCACGAACTATATTTTAGATAAACTTCTCCAGGAGACAGATATAGGAATATTAATTTAAGTACTTTTGCCAGAAACGAACAATTAGAAATGACCTAAATATTTAACAATGGATCTGTAAAGAAATGCAATTTTATTTGTATATGATAGAATTATCTCCAGCAATTAAAAAGCATGAACTAGAGGTATAGGCTTTACACTTTCTGTGTTAGTACTGATGCTTTTTAATCCTAAACAATTTTATTTTCATTTATATGATCAGAGGGTTTTCTATTTGAAATAGCAAAAATAATACCACTTATCTCCTGCTGTCGTTGTGGGAATTAAATGTGTAAATACATGAAGTGTTTTGTAAAATGATGGATACATAGAAAATATTCTATAATGTTAGTTGTCATTACAATCTAAAAACAAAAAACAAAAAAATTGTAATCTTAAATGAAAAAAGATGTGGATTATATTCATATAAATCAAAACACATACAAATAATTACTATATACTTTTTATGAATCCAAATTATCTTATTTGTGCTACTATAACAAAATACCTGAGACTCAGTGTTCTATAAACAATAGAAATTTATTACTCACAGTTCTGAAAGCTAGGAAATTCATGATCAAGGTCCCAGCAGGTTCAGTGTCTGATGAGAGCTGCTCTCTGCTTCTCCAAGATGGTGCCTTGTTGCTGTCTCCTAACATGGCAGAAGAAAATGAACCCCCTCCCTGAAGTCCTTTTATAATGGCTCTATTCTCATCCATGAGAGCTTCAACCTCATGGCTTAATCACCTCCCAACAGCCCCACCTCTTAATATTATAACACTGATTACTAAGTTTCACCACATGAATTTTGAGGAAAACATTCAGACTACATACAGCACATATGAATATGAGGACATTAAAAAAAGATCTCTAAGACCAGACACCAAAATCATAACAGGTCCTGAGTATGCTGAAAGTGGAAAAACAATGGACATGGGAGTTCTTTTTTTTTTAAGAAATAAAAAGGCAACATTAACTATATACTTTTAATGACTCCATATTGTCTTGGTTTCTGCTGCTATAACAAAATACCTGAAACTGGGTGCTTTATAAACAATAGAAATTTATTTCTCACAATTCTGGAAGCTGGGAAATTCAAGATCAAGGTACCAGCACATTCACCAGGACTATATTTAAAATAAAGTCCAGGGATTTTAGTTTTATCCATTGCCACTGTATTTCTTTAAATAAAAAAAGCCATGGAAGCAATATCACAACCTATTGACAGTATACATTTCTGGGTGGCAGAATTATGAATTGAGCTTGCATGTTCTTTAAAACATTTATCAGAAAGAAAGAGAAATCAAGTAACATGAAGGTGAAGACGACCTTGCCTCTGTTTCCTCCATGCACTCCTAGCTGGCTTAGGGTGAGACTCTTATTGCTATTAGGGACATTAGTTAGTGAGTGGACACTTGTTCACCATTGATCACATAGTCCCAGAAGTCCCCACATTGGAAGTTATAAAATGCATCACAATAAATACATTGCCAATAATAGTTAAAATAAAGACACACATGATTTAAGGAAATGAATTAGAAATGAATCAGAGCAGTTGTGTGGGCAGGAGACCCTTTCACCTGATGAAAATGTTCAGTGTCTCACTACCTCCCCTTGCACGGCTAACTTCTGCCTTCTATAGAACCGTAGTATCTAGCACTTTGGAGCCCAAACAACCTGTGGCATCCTCCAGGGCAGGTGGATATCTCTTTGAAGCATCTCCTGAATTTCTTCCCCTGTTTCATTAGGTACCACTCCTAATCACTCCTTTTCACATTCCATGAAGAGGTGGTTGAAATCACACAGAATATGATGGCTTGTTTCTCTTTTTCTTTGCCATTATAGATTTATACCTTTTTCATATATTTACTGTCATTTTTGAGGGATTCTCAGGAGGGAAAGGAGATTTCAAAATAGTTCAATTTATTTTTTTAAAGACTTCAAATTTATTTTACATAGTACACTCCCTCCTTTTTTTTTTTTTTTTACTGTGATTAAAAAAAAATCACATAACAGAAACTCTATCCTCTTCGCAGATTTTTTAAGTGCGCATTACAGCATTCCTAACTATGGGTGCAATGTTGCCCCACAGATCCCCAGAATTTTTTCATTTTGCATGACAGAAACGTTATACCTACTGAAACTTGATTGAATAGCAGCTCCTCCGTTTCTAACCTCTATCAATCACTGTGTTACTTTCTGCTTCCCGAGCACACTCTTTTACATGCTCTCTGGTTTTCCCATCCTCACAAAGTTTTAAAAACAAATAGGTGTTGGATTTAGTATTATTTCTATTGAAATTTACATTTTGGGTTCTAGTCCATCTTTTAGTAAATTGAGATAATTTCCATTCTTGGATAGTCCATCACATGACCTCCTCTGGGGCAGTCAGAAATATGCTTTGATTTTTAGCCCTTGCCAAGACATTACCCTCCATTGTACTACAGCATTCTTGGGGTTTTTCTTTTCTATATTATTGTCTCCTCAAGGCCCCTTGATTTAGACTCTTGTCCCAAGGAGTCTCTTCTACAGGTTTTATATTTCCATTTTTAGATTTAATGGTCAAGAACAGTGTCCACATCTCTCAAAAACGGTAATTAATTGATTTGCTAATGTTTACTCAGTCAGTAGACGGCAGAACTTGGACAGTTGCGTTTAACTCATTCAGTATTTACAGATGTCTATGTGCCTGACATTATGCTTAATGCTGGAGGTACAAATGTGCATGTATCAGGATTTCATATATATATGGCTGGGCATGGTGGCACACACCTGTAATTCCAGTGCCTTGGAAATCTGAGGCAGGAGGATTGCTTGAAGCAAACAGTTCAATACCAACCTGGACAACAAAGCTAGGCCCTGTCTACACAAAAAACTTCAAAACTAGCTAGGGGCGGTAGCATGAGCCTTTAGTACCAGCTACTGAGGAGGCTAAGGTGGGAGGATCACTTGTGCCCAGGAGTCTGATGATACAGTGAGCTATGATCATGCCACTGCACTCCAGTCTCCGATCTGGGTAACAGAGTTAGACTCTGTCTCGAAAACATGTGGTTGTGTGTGTGTGTGTGTGTGTGGCGGGGGAGGGTTAGAGTTACAGCTTTCAATCTTTTCTGATTATGATCCATAGTAAAAAATATAGTATACTTAGTGGCCCTGTGCATACTTACATATTGATCATTAAAGTCAAAATTTCAAAACACAATACTTTCTATATGCAATGGACTTGGATATTTGTCTGTTTTTTTTATTTCATTAAAAACATCAAGTCATAATACACTGCATTGACTTTACAAGCTACTAATAGATGTTGATCAACCATTGTTTAAAAAGGGGAGGTAAAAAGGGTAAAAAGGGAGTCATTTAAAACAACTAATTTCAAATAATGGAGAAAATTATGAGAACAATATTTAATTCCAAATTCAGAGCTTCTCTTACAAATTATGCGGTGCCACTTGTTTTTAGGTTGAACTCATGCCTACCTTTTAGGCAGTTATATTCACAGATTAATTTGTGAGCACCCTGGGCCCCGACAGGACAAGACATAATTCACGTAAATTTTGGTAAATATTCAGGTAAATATTCCTTGAGTGATAGAAGACAGGAAAAGTTTGAAGGGGGAGGGAAGACAAGCCTAGGCAAGGATGGCTAGGGTGGGGAGGGCCAAAGAATTATAAAGCATTAGTCGTCCAAGTAAAGAATAATCAGAAGACGACTTACAGAATTAACTGAGTTCGGGGTAATATCATTATACTCAATCCCTATTCGGATTTTGGTCTATGGTCTCCCAGATCACTTTTTTAGTACCTTCACAGACATATGGATTCATAAAGAACATATAGTAATTATTCATATTTGTTTTGATTGATATAAACAGTAATCTTTTCTCTCAGCTCCATAAAACCTTCCCTGGTGCCCCCTGAAGGCTCACAACATCCCAGACTGGCCTCCATCACTCACTTATAATGTGTTTCGGGGTCTTGAGGGCAGGGAGCTTTCTCTTTCTTCTCTGAATACCTAGCATCCAGCTGAGTGTCTGGCATATGGTAAGTACTCACATACACATTCCTTGAATTCTCTACATCTCAATTTCTTTCACTGTGAAACAAAGTTGGGCTAAACAATCTCCAGGAGCCCTTACCGTCCTAATAATCTATGACTTTGACCGATCTGCAGTGGTCCAAGGCACTTTGCTTCACGAGAAAGCTCACCTCTTTCCTGTCATTGGCCTGGGATTATGAGTTCCAACAATAAATGGCCTGTGCAGAGTTTAGGGTCTAACCCGGCCCTGTCCGGTCAGCAAGAGAGTTTTGGGATAAGAGCAGATGAAAGCCTTGTGCCACAGCAGTGCCTGCAGCAGTGAAAGGATTCCCTCCTCCACCTCACGCCCCACTGCTGCTGCTCTCCAGCCTGCAGCTTCCTCTAAGGCTCTGGATTGGCTGGAAGAGCAACAGAGGGCTGGGAAAGAGCTTCTATATATGCCTCAGAAGGAAAGGCATCCCAGACGGTTTTGAAGTTTTCAAAGACTGGTTCTGCTGTTAAGAAGTTGTACTTAAAGCGGAGGAGCTAAGCCACCTGCCAAAATGTGCAAAGGACTTGCAGCTTTGCCCCACTCATGCCTGGAGAGGTGAGAACCAAGTTATTGCGGTTTAAGAGATGTAGATATGAAGAGTCTTTACTCATGGGAGCAGAGGTAACAGAGGTATTGCAGTTTGTGGCTAAACTGAGGTGAAGCCAGTGCTTGCAGACTGCGTATAGTCTCTTCTCTGTAAACAATATAGAGGTTTTGAAAGATCCGAGCTAGGAGGTTTATACAGTTAGAATATTTTATACACCATTTAATAACCAGAACATCATTTCCTTCAAGGAGATGCCTATTCTGTAAGTGCTTATTCTGAATAAAAACTGTATGGTTAAAGATATAGATTCTAACATCAAACTGTCTAGATTAGAATCCTGGCTCTACTAGTTACCCCTTGTGTAGCTTTGGGCAATTTATTTAACCTCTATGCAGCTCAGTTTCCTTATCTGTAAAATGGAGATACCATGTTCTCTACCTCACAGGCTGGTTATGAGGATTGAATGAATTAATGTATATGCAGCACTCAGAAGCATGTCTGGCACCTAGTAGGACTGTATAAATGTTAATTTTTATTAATGTACAGGGACTGGAAGAGGGAGGCAGGTTTGCCTTGAGGAAGGAAATTTCCCATTGTTCTTTGTTCTCTGACCTCATTAGATAGAAATAGCTGGATGGCTAGACAAAGAAAAAGCCCTTGGGATGCAGGGGTTATTTATTAGCTAGCATTCTTTTTTAGCTAAATGCATCAAAAACTTTGATGCTCCTGGTTGTCCCTAGGCTGGACAATATTCTGGAGGGAATTCTAGGTATCCAAGCTAAGTAAACAGAAGAAGAACAAATATCTTACTTGTTGGAAAACTTAACCCAACCATCCTATCTGATGGAGAGAAGTAGGGATGCTTCTCCTCTTATTAAGAATGGATTTGATTAAGCTGATTTTGATCCCATATGCATTAGGAATGTTTGTCTTGAAATACTTTGTTGTTTAATGGGCTATGACTCTGTCTCTTACAAGCTCAGGTCTTCTTTTTGTTAACTTCCACTCTAGAAATAACCTAAAAACAATTTTAAGGTGATAACATAGTAACATATAATTTTTTTTAACCAATAATACTATCTAGTAACTGAATACGAAACCTCCAGGGAGCCTTACTCTCTGAATTATGGCTTTCA